CCTGCTGTGGCAGCGACGGTGGAACATTGGCCCACCGCTGCGGCCGGAGCGCTGGGGAGCGCGAGCGGCGACGGCGGCGGCGGGCGGGCGGCGGCGGGCGGCCCGCGCGCAAGGGGCCTCGCCCACCGCCGCCCGATGAAGAGCCACACGCCGGCCCTGGGCAGCTTCGGCTCGGGGGACTCGGACTCGAGCTCGAGCGCGGCGACGCGCCCCTGCTCCTGGATTGGGGCGGCGGCCGCGGCGGCGGCAGGGAAGGCGCACACAAAATCATATTATATGTATATATATATATACAAATATGTATATAGTTGTAAATGTACACACGTATACATGTAATGTGTATGTATACGTATGTCTATCAATCTATGTATATATATATATATATATATATATATATATATATATTCATATACATACATATATATATATATATGTATATACATATACTTATACATATGAGTGTTATACGTAGATACATAAGTACCGCCGCCCCCCCAGCCCCGGGTCCCACACTTCCCGGTGACATCTCGGGGACGCTCCCGGTACCGCTCCCCCGGCCTTTCCGGGGAGCCTCCACAGCGCCCCAGGAGAGCCCAAGACGCCTCCCAAGAGCCTCCAGAATGCGAAAGGATGGTCCAAGACGCCCCCAAGCAGCCCAAGTCAGCCTTCCGACGGCTCTCGAGGCTGAGAGGCCCGAGAGGCGTCCCAGGACGGCCCGAAGAGGCCAAAATCGTCGATGTCATGTGTTATTTAAAAGTTTTTGGCTTCTCGCGTTTTCAAGCTTCCAATGGTCCAAGAGCGCCGAAGAGGCTCCCAAGACCGCCCTAAGACCACCCAGGAGACCGTCAGGACGGCCGCAAAACGAGCCAAGAAGGCCCCAAGACTGCCGAAAGGGCGCCCACGAAAACCCCAGAACAGGCCCAAGATGGGCCCAAGAGCGGGAGCAGGAGGCTTCCACAGACCTCCGAGAGGCATCCGGGACCCCCCAGAAGCCCCAACACACCCCCGATCCCTGAGAGGCCCCAAAGCGATCCCGACAAGGCTCCAAGAACAGCCCAAGAGAGCTGCGAGAGCCGCCCTGAAAGAGCCCAAAGAAGGTAAAATCGTTGATGTCCCATAGTTTTTCTGATGTTTTTCGCCTTCTCACGTTTTCCCGCTTTCAACCCTCGAAAATCTAGGATTTTGAAGAAGGAGAAAAATCCGACGGAAAAACCCCGCATGATAATCTTTCTAGCTTACCCTTGATCCTTCCCCCGTCGCCCAGGAGGTAGACCTCTAGGAAAGGTGTAGGAGAGCGAAGAAAAGAATAATAACCAAAGCAAGAATTAAAGAAAAGAAGCCCTCCACACAAAGAAGCATAACAACCCACGCTATCTAAGAATAATCATAATGCCTACCCCTCCTCCCTCCATCACTCACTTTCTCCTCCTCCATCACTCTCCTCCTCCTCCTTCCTCATCCTCCTCCTCCTCCTCCTCCTCCTTCCCTCCTCCTCCTCCTCCTCCTCATCCTCTCCCCTCCTCCTCCCTCCTCACTTCTCTCCTCTCCTCCTCTCCTCCTCCTCATCCTCCTTCCTCTTCCTCCTCCTCCTCCTCTTCCTCATCTCCCCCCCCTCCTCCCCCTCCTCCTCCTCCTCTCCTCCTCCTCCCTATCCTATCAATCCTTTCATCCTCCTCCTCCTATCCTCCTCCTCCTCCTTCCTCCTCCCCCACCTCCTCCTCCTCCTCCTCCTCCTCCCTCCTTTCCTCCCTCCTCCTCCTCCTCCTCCTTCCTCCTCCTCCTCCTCCTCCTCCTCCTCCTCCTCCTCCTCCTCCTCCTCCTCCTCCTCCTCCTCCTCCTCCTCATCGCCCCCCATCCACCCCTCCCCCCTACTCATCCTCCTCGTGCCGCTTCTCTACGTGCCCCCCCTCCTTCCCCCTGGCTGGGGCAAGCAAGTTGACGTTCCTCGGCGCCGTCGCCGCCTCAGCCAACGCGCGCGCGTTCGCTGACGGCTAGATGGCGAAGCCTTTGGGGCAGCCCCGCGGGCCACGCCTCTGGGACAACCCCGCGGGCCGCTGGGCCGCCAGGCCAGGCCGCCAGGACAACCCCGCGAGCCAGACCGTCGGGACAACCCGGCGGGCCTCTAGCTGCGCGCCGCGGCGCTCAGGCGGGAGGCAGCACGAAGCCAAGCTCCGCGGCGAGCTGCTCGGCCGCATCCCTGGAAGTCTTCGCTTTGTCATCGAACTCCTCGAGCGCCCCCCGCAGCGGCACCGGCGGACCGCGCTCCAGAAACTCGCGCGAGGGCGGCCGCGGGATCAGCATGTTCCGCACGCACATGGCGCGGGAGAACATGACGTAGGGGTGCAGCCACCGCTGCTCGCCCGACATGCCCGCGCGGCCAGCGCCCTCGCCCCTCGCGCAGTCGACGGCGACGCCCTCGCGCAGCGTCTGGCCCTGCGACAGCGCGGAGGTCAAGTGGGGCGCACGCGCCAGGCCGAGCGGCGCGCAGCGTGCGCCCCCGAGCTCTGCCACGTGAAATCTTGCTCGCTGGGCCTGAAAACGAGCAAGCTCCTCGCCCGCGCCTCGGCCTCGCGGTCGTCGTCGGTGCCATCGGCGCCCTGTCGCAGCAGCTCGGCGACCTCCTGGTATATCGGAGACTCGTTGAAGCCGTGGACCTGCAGCCAGATTCCCTGCGGCATGTAGCGGGGGCGAAAGAGCTGGCCTGGCGCGCACCCCTCGCGGTCGCGCTCGTCGTCTGCGCAAACTCGAAGGACACGACGGTGGCCCGTTGCTCCTGCGCGAGCTTCAACTTCTTCTCCGGCCCCTCCTGCGCGGCCGCGAACCGAACCTCCATGCCGACGCGTGCCGGCGCGACGCCATGGATGTCCCCCGTCTTGTGCGCGTTCGGGACATTCAGGAGGCGCCGGCCCGCGCCTGGGTCGCCGTGAATCGCGCCGCACTCGTCCACGGCCCGCAGGAAAACGAAAGCACGCCCAGACGCCGCGCGTCGCGACGAGCGCGCGTGTTTATCCACCTCACGAGCGTCTCCCAGTAGATGCCCATGCCGTAGCCGAGCAGAAAGTTCTCGTTCTGGTGCCGAGGGTCCAGGAGGCCCCGGTTGTTCGAGGCCAACGTCTTCTCCCAGGCGGACCAGACCCCCGGCGGGAATGGCGTGCCCTCGCGCATGCAGCCCTAGAGCGCGATCAGGGGGTCCCCGGGCCCGAAGCGCTTCGTGCCCTTCAGCTCGAAGACGCAGGGGATCTCAGAGAAGACCTCGATGGCGTGCGTGCTGAATCTCCACCGTCGGCGGCTCCGCGTACCTGTGCGTGCGCCCGTCGTCCAGGCGCTCGCTCACGTCCGTCAGGGGCCTGATGCTGCCGGTGGGCTTCAACCTGCGGGAAGTCGCCGAGGTGCAACACGATGGGGACGCGCCCGAAGTGGTGGTGCGGCCGCTTGTAGGTGGACTCCTGCGCGTCATGCGTGGCGCGAAGATCCAGCGCGTTGCACAGAGTTGCTGCCACGATGCTCACCTCCTCGATGACCAAAACGCGGACGTGCTCCCGCAGCCATTTCAATCTCTTCTGCATGCCCCCCGGTCTCATCTTCGCGCTGATGTACTTCTGGACTCGCGGGGCACAGGCGTTGTGCAGCGCTCTAGCCTTCACAGTGTCCGTGGAGATGATCTTCGCCTACGCGATCGAGAAAGCCACGACCATCATGGCGCCCTTGTCCGTCGACGACGGGGGCCACAAATACTCCACCACTAGGAAGGCGATCTCCCGCCTGAGACTTCCTCGATATTCAAGCCCCGGCGGGAGCCCGAAATGACGACAAATACAAGTTTTCGGATGGCCCGCCTCGGATTGCCAACATGAAGTGAGGGCCCCATGGACAGGGCCTCCCGCCGCAGACTTCTTCGCAATTCACTCACAGGCGAAGTTCCCGCTTCATACTTCCTCCAGATTCGCGCCTCAGGAGCCCCAAAGTGACGACAAATACACGTTTCGGATGACCCGCCTCGGATTCGAACGTCAAGTGCGGGCCCCATAGGGAGGGGTTCCCGCCTGAGACTTCTTCGCAACTCACTCACAGAAAAGGCTCCCGCTTGATACTTTTTCCAGATTCACGAGTCAGGAGCCCAAAAATGACGACAGCTAACACGTTTCGGACGAGCCGCCTCGGATTCGAACCTGAAGTGCGGGCCCCATAAGGATGGGCTTCCCGCCTGAGACTTCCTCGCAATTTTTCCACAGACGAGACTCGAGGGCCTCCCGCCGCACACTCCCTCGCAATGCACTCACAGTCGAAGTTCCCGCTTCATATTTCCTCCAAATTCACGCCTCAGGAGCCCCGAAATGACGACAGATACACGTTTCGGATGACCCGCCTCGGATTCGAACATGAAGTGCGGGCCACATAGGGAGGGGCTCCCGCCTGAGACTTCTTCGCAATTCACTCACAGACGAGGCTTTCGCTTGATACTTCCTCCAGATTCACGATTCAGGAGCCCCAAAAAAGACGACAGCTACACGTTTCGGATGACCCGCCTCGGATTCGTAACATGACTTGTTGGCCCTATAGGGAGGGGTTTCCCGCCTGAGACTTCCTCGCAATTTATTCACAGACGAGGCTCCCGCTTCATAGTTCCTCCAGGCTCACGACTTAGGAGCCCAGAAGTGACGACAATTGAAAGGTTTGGATGACCCGCTCGGATTCGTAACATGATCTGCGGGGTCCATGGAGAGGGGGTTCCCGCCTGAGACTTCCGCGCAATTCACTCACAGACGAGGCTCTCTCTTAATCGATGATCATGATGGGATGGTGGCGATGACGATGATGATGATGACGGGATGGTGACGATGGTGTGCGATGATGATAAATGGTTGATGATGGTGATGATGAAGAGGAGGAGGAGGCCGATGATCGTGATGATGATGAGTACTGGTGACGTGTGTGAAGATGAGTACGATGATGATGATGAGTGGGTGAGTGAGTCATCGAACGATGATGGTAGTGATGATCAGGATGCTGATGAGTCATGGTGACTGATGATGATGACGGCGAGAGAGAAGAAGAGAGAGAGAGAGGGGGGTGGGAGGACTGCGCGGGGTGTCCAGAGAAAGCAAGGGCCCCACTTAGGATGTGGGGAAGAAAAAAAGAGAAAGAGAGAGAGAGAGAGCGAGAAAAAAAAAGAGAGAGAGGGAATTCCCAGAATCCCCTGTTTTTGGTTCAAAGTGGGACTCCTACTCGGAGATCCCACACATCCCCTGACATCTGGCCGGTACCGCGCCTCTCGGCTTCCCGGGGGGCGCCCAAGACGCCCAAGGACAGCCCAAGACGACCCCAAGGAGTCCCCAGAACGTAAAGAACTGCCCAACACGCTCCCGCGCAGCCCGAGACACCGTTCCGACGGCTCTCCAGGCCTCCAGGAAGCCTCCAGAAACCCCAGGGGGTCCAGAAAATCCCACACCCCTGAGGGGCCCAGCTAACAAAACCCGCGAGGCACAAACAAAAACAGCGCTGATCAGCGCAGAGGAACTGGAAAAACTGGGAATCCCACGATTCCGTGTTTCTTCAAGTTCGGCCCCCGCGGTCTACTCTTGCACAACAAACCACAACCTCCCTCACCTCTCAATAAAAACCTCCGGAAGCCTTTGAGGGCCCCAAACTCAGGAAATTAATGATTTCTGCATTTCCGCACTTCCCTCTCTATACGTTTCCGAGGCTTGCGCAGGGCCTCCAAGGGAGTCCCGGGACGCAAGAGGTAACCATAATGATATCATATGAATTAGCCTATCAAACCAAGCTAGAACGTGAGCGCGCGCGAAGCGCGCGATGGTTCTAGTACATCTATACGTGTATATATATACATATATATATATATACTAGAACCACGCGCGCGCTTCGCGCGCGCTTAGGTTCTAGCTAGGAGGCGAGCTTGAGTCAACGAAAGTCGCAGGGAAGGGGGCAGGGGGAAGAAGGCCAGAGAGCGCTGAAGGATACAAATACTGGAACCCTCTTGTGATTTTGTGGGGGGCCTCGTCCGGCCGCTCGCTGGGAGTTTGACGTAGCTTCTCGGGAGCCTCTGAACCTGTCGGGGGCCTCCTGGAAGCAGGTTCGAAGCATTTTGGGGGCCGATTTGGGGCTTCTCGGGGCCTCCTTTGGGCCTCTTGGGGGTCTCCTGGGGCCTCTTGAGGGGCCTCCTTGGGGCCTCCTGGCGGCCTCTTGGGGCGGAAGGCTCGAGCTTGCGGTTCGTGGTCCCCCTCTGGGCCCCCTCTTGGGCCCGTCTTGGGGCCCTCTTGGGCCATCTTGGGCGCCTCTTGGGCCGTCTTGGGGCCCTCTTGGGCTGTCCTGGGGCCCTCTTGGAAGCTTCTTGGGCCGTCTTGGGGCGGTCTTGGGCGCCTCTTGGGCCGTCTTGGACGCGGCGAAAGCCCAAGAGGCGAACATGCGAAAAATATACGTTTTCCCATAGGAATGGCACGATGTTTGCTTCTTGGGCCTCTCTTGGGCTGCCTCTCGGAGCGTCTTGGAGGCTTCTGGGACCTTCTTGGTGTCATGACAGGCGTCTTGGAAGGCATCTGGAGCCATCGGAGCGCGTTCCGAAGCCGCCTGCGAACGATCTTGGACGGCGTCCGGCGGTCCGACGAGCCTCCGGGCCCCCCGGGGCCCACATTTGTGGTCGAGGTCCTGGCCCCGGGCCCCCGGACCCGGTGCGCCGTTATATGTGTGTATATATATATAAAGATGGAAGTGTGGGATAAGGAACCCTTAGATAGGGAAGCCAGGGTCTGGAGGCCGGCGGAACTCCGATCGGAGCGTGGCCATGGATATCACCGCCGCCCTCATCATTTAAGGAATCCTCCAGGGTCCGCAGCCTCCTGGGCGCATTCCTTAACCAACGCCCCCACCGTGTGTATATATATACACACACACACACACATAGGTTGTTAGCAACATTCTTCGGCTGGGAAAGCGCAGATTGGCGCCTAGGCGTCGTGATGCGAGCAGGCAAGGCTGAGGCGGAGGCGGCGGCGGCGGGGGCGGCGGCGACCCTGGCGTCGTGGAGAGTTATCAGGGCGGAGGGCTTCTGACCGCCTTCGGCCTCCCGGGGACCCTCGCCGGGCCCCGGGGCGATCCACAAGCGGCTCGGGATGAGAAGCGGCTCCTGGGGAGGCCGGTCGGGACTTCCGAGGGGACCTCTCGAGCTCGGGCGACCGGGGAACTCCGATCGAGGTGCTCTGTGTCCCTCCGGGCGTGTTGCCTCGAGCTCGGTGCCCCGGGGCCCCTGCTCGGGCCCCGGGGGCCAGCAGAAGTGGATCCGGGGCGGAGAGCTGCCCAGGGAAGGCTTTGGGAATGCTCTATGGCGGCGCCCGCGGGGCGGTGGCGCGCGGGGGGAGGGCCTCCAAGGAAGGGGCGGGGCTTCCGAGAAGGCAAGGGGGGGGCTTCTCAGGAGCCCCGCCCTGCTGAGGAGCCTTCCTGGAAGCCTCCAGGGCCGTGCTTCTGTCCTCAGAAGAAAACACCTGATGGCGAAAACTGCCAGCTTCCCCAACTGATGGGACGATGACTCCACCAAGCAAGCCTAGAGAAGGTGGTCGAAACCCCTGCCCCGAGCAGTGCACAGTGGTGGCCGGGCCCGCCCATTCTTAGAAGCCTCCAGGGCCTCGCAAGTAGGCCCCCCGCCTGCTCAGGAGCCCGCCGTCCCCTCGGGAGCCCAACCCCCTCGGGCCGCCCCCTAGTGGGCGCCGCCGGGTTCTGGAGCCGCGGGTCGACACAAACACATCGGCAGATTGCATTCGATTCGATTATGTTAAGACTAGACTAGACTAGACTAGACTAGACTAGACTAGACTAGACTAGACTAGGTTGCATTAGACTAGAGTGGACTAGATGAGATTATATTCGACTACATTAGATTAGAACAGATTAGATTAGGTTAGATTAGATTGGACGATGCGCTGCTTGAAGCTCCACATGGTGACGCACGAGAACTGATCTCCCTGGCCCGCTTCGTGCGGGCAGGGGCAGGGCCCTTCTCGAAGGCCGCTCTAAATAAGCAAAAGCCCAGCACGTGTGGGCGGCTGACATGCCACGGATGTCACGGACTGAGGAGAATTAACGGGCGAAGAACGGTATAAGATGAACTTTTTCGCTGTCGGGGGCGCCTGTCCCTGGGCGGCTGGAAAGTTTATACCCTTACGGTGGCACCGTAGTGGTATAAACTTTCCAGCCGCCCAGGGACAGGCGCCCCCGACAGCGAAAAAGTTTGTTTTATACCGTTCTTCGCCCGCTGAGAGAAACGTGCGGGGGGGAACAGTTCAGGAGGGAAAACCTGGAGCTCGAATCGGCGAGAGCTCACCGACAGATCGGCGATGGGCCCCCGATTACGAATTCGCACGTTCCTGGGCGGGGTGGGCTATCGGGACCCTATCGGCGATCACTGGGGGATTGGGTCGATGCACGTCCGATGCACCCCCACTTGAGCCTACCCCCTCAACGCTGCCCCTGATCCGAATGGCTTTCGGGCCATAACTCGGGCCGCAAGCGACGCGCTCGGACCGATCTGAACACCCCCAGAACGCCCCCGGCGAGGAGCAGCTGCTGGAAGGCATCCCGAGGCTGGAAAACCGCCGAGAGCCGACGGGAACACCCGAAGGCCTCGAATCCCTAGCCTCGAGCCTATCCCCCCCCCCTTTCACCGGTGCCCCTGGGGGCCTCGGGCACAAGCGCGGGCGCGGCGAAATTGGACGAGGATGCGAAAGAGGGGGTCATCTTGGAAGAAGAACATTGGGGATTGACAGAACCCCCTTGAATAAAACGTGGCTTCGTGAAAACGACCTCGGGCCCCAAACCTGGCGGGGGCAAGTCTGGAAAATGCCGGCCGCGGCGCCCTCTCGAAAGCCGAAAACGGACAATTCACTAATCGACGTGACAGGGTGGGGGTTCTGTCCACCCCCAAGAAACATGCCATTACCATAAACGTTCGGAGCTCCGCGCTGATTTCTTTGATCGATGCTGGACCTCTCTTCTGGCGCGCAGAGGGCGCCAGGTGAGGCGCCGGAGGCGCCGCAAGGGGGCGGGCCAGGCGTCGATCCGAGAAATCCGCGCGGAGCCCTGTCCGAACGCTAATGTTTATGTAGTGTTCTTCTGTTCTTTATTAATGTTAATATTACTAGCATGATGATTATAAATATTCTTACTGCGATTATTGTTCGATGTCCTCATCATTCTGCTCGTCCTCGTCCCGAAACATGGCGCCAGCGCCCCCTGACTTGGCGACAGAATGCGTCCACTTCGCATGGGTACGGGACCCGTCGCTAATTCACGCGCCTGGATCCATGCATGGGCCTCGCCAGCGCTGGAAGGCTGCGTCGTCATCCTCATGCCTCTCCTCCCCTCTCCTCCCAGCCTCATGCAGAGGAGGGGGGATGGGGGCGGCCCCCCCCTTCGCGCCTCAGAGCTGCCCACGCGCGCCCACAGCTCGCGACACTCCTTGGGGGCATGCAGGGGGTGGAGGGGAGGACGATGATGATGATGATGATGATGATGATGATGATGATGGTGGTGATGATGATGATGATGATGATGATCATGATGATGATGATCGTGATGATGATGATGATGATGATGATGATGATGATGATGATGATGATCGTGATGATGATGATGATGATGATGATGATGATGATGATGATGATGATGATGATGATGATGATGATGATGATGATGATGATGATGATGGTGACACCCCCGTGGAAGGCGGGTGGCTGCCACGAGCTCAAACAGAAGCAAACCACACTCAGTGCCCAGATGCCGAATATGATTTTATGCCGCGCTGTCTCAAACATTGGAACGCTAATCTGCTCAACGTTGCTTGGTCGTTGGTGCCCTCCGGGTTGCATGCTGTCGTCCTGTGCTACCGATCCCATCGAAAACCCCTTCCTCTGTCTAGCCTCGTGCCCGTCCGGAATGTGGCTCTTATCGTGGTTCCTGTTGTGTGAATCCTGCGATACCGTCTGTCATTAGGCATTCTGGTCATCCGTTGCAATAGCTGGCCACGACTGTGGGCGTCGCTGCAAATGTGAATACCATCGCAACAAATACGCTAAAGCGTAAGAGCGGGACCATTGTCTGCTGGGGGGGCCCTCAGATCAGAGCCCGTGCTCGGCGGAGGCAGTATGCCAGTCTTTCTTCTTCAGGGCGCCCGGGCAGCCGAAGCATCCAGCAGCGGAAGCGGGACTGAGCCTTGTCTAGCTTTCGGCCACCGTTTTTCCTGGCGGCCAGGCGGCAACTCTCGCCTCTGTGATACCCCGCGCTGTGCGATCAAACAGCTCTTCTCGCTTTCCAAACGAGATCAGCGTATCGGTAAGCAGTCTGGAACTTTGAAAGTTAGCCTGGCGAAGAACCCAACCATATGCAGCTGCGAGTGCCGCGAGGGAGATGAGACGAAGGAGAGGGGCGCGCAAACTCCGAGTAGCGCACGCGGTACAGCCTTCTGCCACGAAACGTGTAAAAGGTGTGCCTACGTGAGTCTGGAGGACGCCTGCGAACGTCGGCATCGGGGCCTTCCGTGGAGCTCCCGATGGGGCCACGAAGCGTGTGAGGGGTACGCCGAAATTGGGCGGCGGTGCCATGCGAACTTTCCCACTGGAGCCTTAGGTGGAGCTCCTTCTGAAGCCACGAAACGGTGAGGGATGTGCCAGAACGGGGCGGCGGTGCCACGGGACCACGAAAAGTGTGAGGCGTGTGCCGAAATTGGGCGGCGGTGCCATGCGAACTTTCCCACTGGGGCCTTCGGTGTAGCTCCCTATGGGGCCACGAAGCGTGTGAGGCGTGTGCCGGAACGGGGCGGCGGCGCCGTGCGAACTTTCCCACTGGGGCCTTTGGTGGAGCTCCCTATGGGGCCACGAAACGTGTGAGGCGTGTGCCGAAATGAGGCGGCGGTGCCATGCGAACTTCCCCACTGGGTTCTTCGGTGTACCTTCCCATGATGCCACGAAACGTGTGAGGGGTGTGCCGGAATCGGGCGGCGGTGCCACGTGAACTTGCCCACTGGGGCCTTCGGTGGAGCCCCCTGTGGGGCCCCGAAACGTGCAAGGGGTCTGCCGGAATCGGGCGGCGGTGCCGTGCGAACTTTCCCACTGGGCCCTTACGTGGGGCTCCAGCTGGGACCACGAAACGTGTGAGGCGTGTGCTGGAATCGGGCGGCGGTGCCATGCGAACTTTCCCACTGGGGCCTTCGGTGGAGCTCTCTATGGGGCCACGAAACATGTGAGGGGTATGCCGAGATGGGGCGGCGGTGCCATGCGAACTTTCCCACTGGGGCCTCAGGTGGAGCTGTGTCGGAATCGGGCGGCGGTGTCGTGCGAACTTTCCCACTGGGGCCTTAGGTGGGGCTCCAGCTGGGGCCACGAAACGTGTGCGTGGTGCGCAGAAATGGGGCGGCGGTGCCATGCGAATTTTCCCACTGGGCCCTTACGTGGGGCTCCAGCTGGGATCACGAAACGTGGGAGGGGTGTGCCGAGATGGGGCGGCGGTGCCATGCGAACTTTCCCACTGGGGCCTTAGGAGGAGCTCCCCATGGGGCCACGAAACGTGTGAGGGGTGTGCCGAAATGGGATGGGCATGCGGAGAGCAGAGGCATGGAGGGGAGAAGGGAGGAGGAGGAGGAGGAGGAGGGGGAGGAGGGAGGAGGGGGGAGGAGGAAGGAAGGAGGAACGCGGGGACCGTCTCTTCAAACTTAGGACTCAACACCACAGGATGGTTGGGGAAAAAAAGCTGCTTCGAAGATATCCATAGCCCGCTCTACGTCTGCCAATGGCGACCCATTGGCAATGACAATGGGGCCCAAAATCCTCGTTTGCGGCTTGAAGGGCCAAGCGTGCGGGAAACGGTTCATGATGGAATACTCTTGTTGTTCATTGCGTTCCGCTTGAATCACCTCTTTGCTGTTGTTCTTGAGATGGAGGCCGTGTGTATATTTCAGAATATGTTCACTATACTTTAGCATGCTAATGAACCCCTCCATCTTAAAATCAAAAATACACATGTTGCCACTGCATGATGATAGCTTAAAACTTGTCAGCAGGATACCGTGCGACGCTGTAAACCCACTTCTCTATGCAGAGTTGTGCTGTCTTCCACGGTAATTCTCGCTAACACCGATGCGGAGGGCATTCTTGTGTGCAAGCCCCTGGATCTACGGATGGGTTCCCCTCTGATGTCCAATGCGCAACTCGCCAATTTGGGGAGAAGGTGCAAACGGGCGGTTGCAACAACGACTTCTGCGCTTCGGGCCAACATGCTCCAAAATAGGCTTGAGAAACGGATCGAGTAATGGTGTGCTGCTGTGTCCGCCACCCCCACCGCCGACTTGTTGCATATGTCTCTTCCTGCTTCGAGAACTTGCGTCATGAGCGTCAGTGTATCTTGGACCTGCCCTCCGCGAGCCAGCCCTTTCACAACTTCTGTTCACCCGTGGCGCTCCGTCCATATATCAGCGAATGGCAAATTTAGTTTAATAT